GATGACTATGTCTTTTATCATAACCAGTGGATAGCCTGGGCCTGGCTCACAGGAAGTGCTCTCGGAATATGTGCTGGACAAAATGGGTGTACAGACTCTCAGTCACATTCAGGCACGTGAACTTCTAGAGACCGAAGAGAAGAGTCTGCAGTTGCTGTTCTTATAGCTCGTGAGTCTCAGAGTAGCTCTGTGGGCCATCGGGTCTCAAGGCTTTGACTTTTCAAAAACAGGTCACTGGGTCTTTCTTCTGAGGTGCCTCTGGGTGGATTTGAACCACCAGAATTCTGGTTAGTAGTGGAGCATATAATCCTGTGAGCCACTGGGGTACTGCTCAGAAAAGGACAAGCATATGCTAAAATGAGATTCTTTCCAGGGCCACACTCTGCAGGGCTTCTAAAAGTAATTTGTCCTGGGAAGCCAGAAAGTCTAAGGACTGACCTTGAATGGCCCTACTGCTTTAGAAGTCCACGTATAGGGCCCTTACTTTGTTAATTAGCAACCTCTTGGCCGGGAAGGTCCTTGAGCACGGACACCACATGGCAACCACTCAAGGAATATTTGCTAAAGGAATGCGAGAAGGAACTGAAGTCGTACATCTCCACTGCCCAACACATGAGAATCATATAATGGCGCCAAGTATTCTACCCTGCCCCCAGCTGATAATTCCTCGTTTAAAACGGCTAATTCTCAGTCAGTGTCCGATACCAGGCCATGGAGAACTGCCAACAGCAGGCTTTGGGTTTCCAATCACTCAACTCAGGTGAGTAAATAAGGCTACCAACGTGATCTCTCAGTACGAGCCCCATTCATCAGTAGAGCCATTTAAAAACACCACAGTGGTCTCAAGTGTAAATGGCAGAACATTTCGAGGGACCATTATTAACTCTAAAAGGTTTATCAACATTGAGAAGCTCCTGGAGAGCTAGAATCTGGGAAGCCTTTGTCCTGTCCCTTGTAGATGCCTTGCAGAACTAGTTTACATGTGTCTCTAGGAGGAAGGCTTAAGTCAGGGAGGCAAGGGGGAATCCTGGAATGACCATGGCTTTGGAGATGTAGCGGCCAGCCAAGGTTTCCTTAGAAATCATTTTCAGGCACATTTTCTGAGATCATCATAGACTCTGGCCTCCCCCCAAAGCTTGGGTGCCCATCTAGTGAATGCCTATTTTGAGGGCAGGTGCTTAAGTGCACTGGCCAGTGCTGCCGTCGCCCCCGTGCAGCACAGGTGAGCCAGGGGTCCAGTTATTCCCTGTTTCATCACTCTGCTTTCACTGCCAGCCACCTGTCTGTTTGGGGCGGGCTTCCATTTCACTGGAATGTTTCCAAGCCCCGGTTTGCAATTCCCACATAATGGCGTCCATTTGCATGGCTGTCCTCCCAGAGCTTTGCTGGACAGTTTCCTCTCTTTCTGCAATACCACTGGTGTTCCATCTTCCAGAGAAGTCAACTCTATTTCTGGTCTGTCTACTTGGATATTTTCTATAATACTATACACATACATAATACTATATATATTTAAATATATATGGAAAAATATGTATCTTAAAGACATGTTTAGAGACCTAAAACAGAACTAAAGAGAATACCAGAAAGATGTTACCTGCACTCTACTGTCTATACAAAGGCAACAGACCGTGTGCCTCATAACAAAGTATGGATGACGTGCGTGGGGAAGAGTGGGGGCTCCAGGACACCCCCTGGGCCCGGACAGAGACCTGCACCTAGACTACGAGGCTGCTGCTCCAACAGAACAAGAGGACACGGCGTGACTTCAAATAACGAACTGTTTGTGGAGTAAACAAATAAATAAATAAGGAAAAAGTGTGTTGCAGGGTTGTGTCTTTTCGCCCGACTTCCTCGCTCTGTATACTGAGCAAACAACCGGAAAAGCTAGGAAGAATGCAGTATCAGACTTCTTAAGAACCTGTGACATGGCTAGACTAGAGGATGTGCACTGGTACAGATAGGAACCGGAAACACAGGGAATCCAGGACAGATGATCCCTCAGGACCAGTGGTGAGAGTAGTGATACCAGAGAGTGGAGGGGGGTGGGGTAGAAAAGGAGAACCAATTATAAGGATCTACATTTAACCTCCTCCCTGGGGGACGAACAACAGGAAAGTGAGTGAAGGGAGACATCAGACAGTGTAAGACATGACAAAATAATAATTTATAAATTATCAAGGGTTCACGAGGAAGGGGGGAAAATGAGAAGCTGATACCAAGGGCTTAAGTAGAAAGCCAAGGTTTTGAGAATGATGAGGGCAACAAATACACAAATGTGCTCGATATACAATGGCTATATATATGGATTGTGATAAGAGTTGTACGAGCCCAAGAACCTGTGATGCGCAGACGACACGACCTTGCTTGCTGAACGTGAAGAGGCCTTGAGGCCCTGACTGCAGGAAACCAAAGACGATCTCCTGTACGGATTACATCTTGAATAAAAAAATTAAAACCTCACAACTGGACCGTTCAACAACATTATGACCAATGGGAAAAAATACTGAACTGGTCAAAAATTTCTTTTTTATTTTGATCCACACTCAATGCCCATTAAAGGCATAATCAAGAAGTCAAATGATTTCTGGCACTCAGGAAACCTGCTGCAAACGATCCTTAAAGGGTTCAAAAGCAAAGCTATTACTTTGAAGACTCAGGTTCATCTGAGCTACGGCACGGGATTGTCAACGGCCTCATGTGCACACACGTGTTGGACAGCTAACCACGAAGTTGGCGGTCCAAACCCACCCACTACTCCACAGGAGAAAGAGGACGCGATCTGCTCCTGTAAAGACTTAGTCTCAGAAACCCCACATCAAGGGTCACAATAGGTTCAATGGCTGTGGTCAGATGCATGTAAAACTGGAGCATGAATCAGGAAGGCTGAAGAAGAACTGATCTGTCTGAATGATGGTCTTGGCAAAGAACAGTGACTAGACCAGGCACTGTCAGGAGCAGGAACACACCTGTCCTGGAAGAAGTACAGCCAGAATGTTCCTTAGCAGGAAGAAGAGTCAGACTGGTCTCACACACTTCCGTTATCAGGAGGGACCAGGCTCTGGAGAAGAACAACATGCTTGTCACAGTAGAGGGCATGTGAGAATGAGGAAGACCTGTGAAGGGATGGACTGACACAGCGGCTGCAGCCACCGGCTCAGACAAATACTGGTTGTGGGGATGGCCCCAGGCCGGGCAGGGTTTCCGTCTGCTGCACACAGAGTCCCCACGAGTGGGGACCGGCTGAGCACACCTCACAAGAGTAACAAAGTAGAATCAGGTATGTATTTCAGTCTGCAATCCTGATTCCAGTCTCTTTAAGTCATATTTCCTTACTTCTATTTGTAATTCATATCCTGCCATCCAAATCCCCCGAGGGCATTTTCTCATTCTTCACTTTCCAGAAGGCATGGAGGCGGCTCAGGCGCTCCGGCCCACGCACCCGAAGTGGGCCGTGGAACAACTGCTTTTGCCTCACCCTGCTCCCCTTCCTGCGTTAGAAACGGTTGCTCCTGTGAGTCTAGCGACTACGAATACAGTCTTCAGATGCTGCTGTCCCCCATATCAAAGGATATAATGTGACTTTTTAAAAGTGCCAGGTGCTAAGCAGCCAACTGTAATGGTTAAGAACATGAGTTTTAAGGCAGATGTGAGCCAAGCACAATACTGTAGGTTTCCATGATAGGAAATTTCCAGAATTGATAACTCCATAGCTACAGAGCACAGACTGTGGTTGCCCAGGACTGGGGGTGGAGGAGGGAGGAAAGGTATGAGGAGAAGCTGCTTAATGGGTCTGGGGTGATGACTATTGGAGTGCTGAGACTAATCAGAGGTGGTGGTTGTACAGCAGTGTGAATATACTAGAAGCCACCGAATTAACTTGACGGTAATCTTGTTAGGCAAATTTCACCACCAGAAGTGTACAACACGAAGCAAACCCAATTTCCCTAAGTCTTACTTTCTTCGCCTTATTGTCCCAGTTCCTGCAGGGCAGCCATGAAGATCATACATGTAAGCAAATGGTAATACATGCTTATTAATAAATTAATAAATATTAAATGTTATTATCATCCTCATTGAGATTTAGCCCTTGGACCACAGAGTTACAAGATGTACTCCCTTCCCTCCACGTCCAAGCCCTTGAAGCCCTTGGTCCAATTAGAAATTTGTTGAAGGGCGTTTCCTTCAGGGACTCTCCCAGGCACTATTATGATGAAGGCCACTGCAGTGCGGCAAGCATCAACGTCCCTGGGGCTACAAATGCCACTGAGCTCCGAGTTTCTTTAGCTGAGCAGCCAGGGAGGTCAGGAGGCTCCACCGGTCAGGAAACCAAAACTAAGCTCGCCATCGAGATGACACCGACTCACAGCAACCGTATCAGGGCGGCGCAGAACTGCCCCCCGGGGGGGTTCCGAAACGTAACTCTTTACAGGAGCAGAAAGCCTCATCTTTCTCCCATACTGTCGGGAGAGTACATCAAAACCAGAATCTACTTGTTGGGTCAGAATTAGAAAGTCGGCCATGAACGGTGGATCAAAAGCATGCGGCAGCACAGACAAACCTAGAAAACCCGATGGTGAGTGAAATGAGCCAGTCACCAAAGGACAAAGATCGTATGGCCTCGTTTACATGAAAAAAAAAAAAATATAGAAACCCAAGCCTGGTGGTAGCCAGGGATGTGGGAGGGGAGGAAAAGGGGAGGCTCTGCTCTGGGGCATGGGGCTTATGTTAATGAGGGTAGATGAACGTGGGCGAGGAAAGGAACAAAGATTGCACAGCATGAAGAACGTCATCAACGTCATTACGTTGTACAGGAGGAATTGGTGAACATTTGGTTGGTTATGTGTATGTTCTTATCACCATTAAAATCAAACAAACAAACACACAAAAAACAACCAAAACCAGATAAAAAAAGCACGGTATTCCCCATAGCTGGGGGAGGCTGTTTTTGGACTCACGGGTGTCCAGAAAACAAGTACAGGCGATCCCCCACCACTTACCTCCCAGGGGCTGGAGTTCCACGTTCCAGCTGTCCATGCTGCTCGCAGAGACCTCGACATTCTCGGGCATCTCTGCCCCCTGGGACTCCTCTTGCTTCTCCTCCAGCGGTAAGTTGAGCTCCTCGGGAGTCCTGCTATACATATCTAAATCCTGGTCCATTTCTTGAATCTTCACCAATACTAAGGGGCACTGGGAGGTCTGGTCCAGAGTCTTTTCCACATTCTCAGGGCTCTCTCCTCTTTCCAGAGTCTCACAGCTGGGGCGGTGACCAGGCAGGAGCTTAGAGGACGCTGCATTTGTTCTCGGCTGTGCCAAAGGCGGCAAGGGAGCTGGGCGAGAGGGCCGCACTGTCAAGGGGAGCACAAGTTTCAGGTCCTGGTCCGCCAGTGAGTGGGAAGACGTGGATACGGGGGTACAGGGCCGTGGGGGTGGCGGCCGCAGGGCCTTCCTCCTCTCGGGCAGTTCTTGTTGAGGGCTTAGCTTTGAAGAACCATAGACAATGTCCTTCTCAGAGTGAAAGTCCGTGATTGAAAACTGGTGTACGAGCTTCTCGGGTTCTGGGCTTGGCCCGGACAAGCTCTTCTCAAACTCCATCAACTGTTGGGTCAACTTCGAATCCAGGTCGGTGCTGCCGTCTCCCCCTTCAAGGGCCACTGCTTGCACAGCAGAACCGGGCAGCCACTCTGACCTCGCTGGTTCAGCCCACAGGCTGGGAGCGTAGTCTCTGGGCTTGCGGTGCTTTTTAGAACCCCTCACCATGCCCTGGAGCTGAGGACTCAGTTGGCTGGGTGCGGCTGTCCTAGCGGGCGAGGGCAAAGAGCTGCTCTGAATGGAGGGCACTGGCTTGTGAGCACCCCTCAGTTGGGAATACGCTCCTCTGAGAGGTAGGGTGGAGTAGTCTCTACTCCGAGCTTGTGCCGGGAGAGGCTCAGAGGACTTGTCCGAGCTCGGGAGGCCCTCTTTCCTTGTGGAATAATACTGAGTCTTCTCCAATCTGGGATGAAAGGGTACGTGAGGCTGGGAGGAAACCCCATTGACCACTTCCGAAGGATCATCCATGGGAGAGTCTCTGGCAAGAGGCTTTCGCTGCCTGATGCCTGCGCTTCTTGGAGGCTCTCCGAAGAGGGCTTCGTGGAGATGGGAGCACGTGTCTGTCTCCTCCTCGGAAGCCAGCTGCTCCTGGGGAGAAGCGGATGTGTCCGAGATTGCGCAGTTGGACTTCTCTGCTCTGTACTCATGCGCGTCGAGCCTTTTGTCCTCCACTGCGACGGAGATCTCCGAAGGTGGCTCAGGGAGCTTGGTCCGGCTGCTTCCCTGGGCCAGACCCTTGGTTTCTTGCACCCTTGTGTTAGGACACAGCTTTACAAAACGGTGAGGAAAGATGCCTGTCCTGCCCTTCAGTGATCCTTCTAGCCAGCCGTCTTCCAGGGTCCCCAGAATCTGGATTTTGTCCCCTACGTCAAAATCCAGCTCATTCGGCTCCAGGGCTTGGAATCTGTAGAGGGCGGTCCCGTAGGGCCCTGGTTGCTCTTCGTCCTCTTCCTGTGCCCCCTCTCCTTCCCCTGGAGGGCTCTCTGCCACACCGTTACTTACGCACCCATCTTGGGTACTAGAACCTACTGGCTTGTCCACAGTCCTCAGGGGCCCCAGAAGCTCGACGAAGCCTTCTGGAAAAATGCCTCTCTGACCCTCCAGCTCCCCTTCAAACCAGCCTGGTTCAGGAACGCCAATGATGGTGATCACATCCCCTTCTCTGAAGTCCAGCTCCTCCTCCAGCTGGGCAGACAGCCCCATCAGGGCCCGCGCTTGTCCCATGGAATAGTCAGGGATCTGAAGCAGGGCGCTCTGTGAGTGCCACCGGCGGCTTTGTGAAGAGAGGCAGAGCTCACGGGTGCAGGAAGATGGGAAGAAGCCCCGTGCACCCCAGCAGCTTCGACCCTGCAGCCAGCCAGCAGTGGGAGAGCCATCAAGAATCACCAGGTCACCTACAGGGAGAGGAAAAGCCAATAAAATGTCACCACCAAAACAACACCAACGAACAGTTTTCTTGTGCAACACCGTGAGAAGAGGGATGTTCCTGCTGCCGGCTGAAGGGCCAGGGCTGTCCTGAGGAAAAGCCCTCGTGGGACCGAGTTGCAATCTGAACAGCCGCGCTTCCCCACTTGAGAGAGGGGCTCACAGACCGCTACCAGGATGCCGGCTCCGGTAGTCGGCATACATTCTCTCAAAAGTGAAAGAAGCCAGCCTGCAAGGTCAAGGAAAGTAAGCCACAGCATCTCTCGTCCATGACAAAATGCCAAATTTCAAGTGCGAGTTTAAATTTTGGAAAACCTGTAGCCACCACCCTGCGTCGACAGATTTCCCATACTCAGAGTTTGTTTTGTTTTTTCCCTCTTTCTGATGAAATCCTGGAGATAGTGACAAATGTAATTTTTGTACTTATGTAATGATATGGTCACCATGTGAAAATCTGTATAACTCACTGGGCCAATGTTTTTGAAATGACTGAAGGATGACACTATAAAATCATGCATGGCTACAATCTATTTGAAGGTCAGGCAGGCTAATGGATTTTAATATAACAGAATATGAAAATTCGGTTGATAGAATTTCCCATTACATTGGGCAAGTAACCCTTCAGAAACTAACTACCCCTCATTGCATTTTGGTACAGTATCAAAGGTCAAAGAAGGACGTTAAACGATCTGGACAGACTATCAAAATGCTCCTCCCTGGTGGGGGAGGGGGAGCAGGAATCAGCTGATCCCAAGGGCTCAAGTAGAAAGCAAATGTTTTGAGAATGATGATGGCAACAAATGTGCTTGACACAATGGATGGATGGATGGATTGTAGTAAGAGCCCCCAATAAAATGATCCTTAAATAAATACTCCTTCCATCTTCCAGCATAGAGCTGTAGGAGACAGAATTTCTTACAGATACTTTACTCAAGCAACAGACTGCGACAGACAGAATAAGGAGGCACATTGTTTGGGGGACTATACTTATTTTAGACACGTTAGTTATGTTAACATGTAATGAGTTTATTACTTATAAAGTTGAATTGGCATATAAGCAAACAAGTTTCCCTTAACTAGGAAAAAAACGGTTTGCCTTGAGCTAAAATATATGGATATATATATAATCAAATTGACAACAGCAACTTGAAAGACTGGATAGGAAACTTAGGGGGATAGTGGCTGTATGTTAACGAGGGAGGAGCAACTCAAAAGGAGAGCTGTTCAATTCTAAGAATGTCACCAACATCACCAAATTGTGCATGCAGATACTGCTGAATGGATGTATGCTTTGTTGTATGTATTCTCAATAACCAAATAAAACATTTAGAAAAAAATTGCTAAGTATTTTTTAATTTCCCAGTTCAAATAGGTAATACAGTGTATACATAAAGGGTCCCTGGTGGTGCTGTCGGGTAAGAGTTGGACTGCTAACTGTTAGGTTGGAAGTTCAAACCTACCAGCCACTCTGCAGGAGAAAGATGAGGCTATCTACTCCCATAAAAATTTACAGCCTTGAAAAGCCTATATAGAGTAACAATGAGCAGAAATATGAGCTCTGGTGGAGTGGTGGTTACGCATTGGGCTACTAACCACAGAGTCAGCAGTTTGAAACTACCAACTGCTCCCCAGGAGAAAGATGAGGCTTTCTGTTCCTGTAAAGATGTAAAGTCTCGGAAACCCAAACGAACAGTTCCACTCTGTCCTACAGGGTCACTCTGAGTTGGAATGGACTCGGTGGCAGTGTTTTTGCTTGTTTGCTTACTTGTTTTGAATATATAGTGCACCCAATGTAAAGTTTCATATTTAATGGGAGACTCTCAATACATTTTCACTGACTTGACATTATTTTTATTAGATTTGCCTGAAAAAAGGGGGGAGGTGGTCTTGGTCTTCTATTCCTTTATCCCTTTAAGTTATGATATAATATCCATTGGATATAGCTTAGGGTCCTGAGAATTGTAACAAGTAGTCCCTCCACCGCCCGCCCCTGAGCCCATTCCACGGGAGCCACAGAGTCACTAGTGACAAGCCTACTGCTCACACACAATGAGTGCTTGGTGCTCGGAAGCACAGAAGCACGCCTCGGCTCCCACTCTGTGGGCGTGGACATGAACTGGCTTTCTTAAAGCTGTAGGATTAGGGTGTTTTCGTCGTGTGCCCCTGCTCCATAAAGCCAACATAATAAGGTTTGCTTTTCTGTCTATTTTCACCTGGGTGACTGAGTTGAAATCCTAATTTCCTGGCAGACTGTCATTCTATTGATCAGTATTACAGAATGAAGATGAGTGTCCTTGAAGTAATAGTTTAGACCTTTGGAAGGACCTTCGAGAAGATTTAGGTTTTCTATTGTGGTATATGTACATACATGTGTTTTGTGTGTGTGTGTGTGTGTGTGTCTTATATAATACGTGTGTATATACTCAACTCTTCACCATGGAGCCAATTTTGACTCACAGGGCAGAGTAGAACTGCCCCTGTGGGCTTCAGAGATTGTAACTTTTTATGGGAGTAGACAACTTCATTTACTCCTGTGGATCATTAGTGCGCCATATACACAGGGCTCTACACACACACACACACACACACACACTCTCTCTCTCTCTCTCTCTCATTTCTCAAGAGCATAATTTAGTGATCTTGGTTATATTAATCACATTGCGCAACCATCACCCATAATCATTGCCAAATTTCCCATCAAATCCAGTCCATTCTACAGCCCTGCCCTGACTGCTCCTGGGTTTTCTCACGAGCCTCTCAGTTTCCTCAGAGGGGGTCATGGAAGCTGGTCTGCTGGGCTCCCAGTTGCCACCTCGGGTCTGAAAGCCATGCTTCTAAAACCAATAACCAGGAACTTCTGGAGTAGAGCTTGAGATCAACGACAAAAGTAGGAAGTATGGTGACCCACAGGGTCAGCCTCAGACTTTCGCTCATAGTCGTCTCAGCGCTTTCCGTACCCTGCACCACTTTTGCTTCCCTCTTTGTCGTCAAACTCACTTGTCTATATTTTGCCTCTCTTTTCCTTGCTTTGTTGAGAGGTCCGTGGCACCGGCTACCTGCACTGACCCTTCTTCTAGGAGTCAGTCTTGCTTAAAACTCAAAATACCACAGTTGAATTAAAAGAAGAAAAAAAAAAAAAGGTTCAAAACCCCTGGGTAATTTGGAGGCAGGAGCGTGACACCTGCTGAGAAAGAGTGACACCTGCTGGCAGAACCACCGTGATTCCAGACTCTCCTGGAAAAGTGTACGTAGACACGCGCCCGCGCACGCACACACACACACACACACACACACACACACACAGGGGAGTGAAGGGACCCTGAAATATAGTGACCAACCTACGGTGAAGAATGATAAAGATATTCAACATTTACCGGCGCTTTGCTGTGCCACGTGTTTCACCCACACAAGTTGATTTAATCTTAGAACTTCCCATTTTGTAGATAAGGAAACTGAGGTTGAGAACTTCATGAACTTGCCCCAGGTCACTAAGTGGTAAAGCTAGCTATTGCTTAAACCATACCGTCTGTACCAAATGGGTGTGGGGGGTGCATATTTTTGTCTCTTATTGATCCTAATGATATTTCTGAAAGGTTGGGCAATCAAAACCCAAATCCAAATTCAGTCACTGCCGCCTCATGTAAGAGCAGAGTGGAGCTGCCTCCATGGGCTTTCTAAGACTGGAACTCTTCTTTCTCCCACCAAGCAGCTGGGGGTCTTGAACTGCTGACCTTGTGGTTAGCAGCCCAATGGGTCACCATGATGCTGCCAAGGTCCCTCCTTGGTCGAGGATAATTAACCAAAGAGTCAGTCAGGTAAACCATAACAGATCCCAAACACGATCGCTCACACTCTTAAGGTTTCGAAATCCCTTCCAGACACAGGCCCCATCTCCAAAGTTTGGTTGTATTTCCATGGAAGATGAGAATCTGCACTGCGACACCGGGGACTGCTAAGGAGGATCAAAGGCACTAGACTAGAGGACAGGAGAAAGCAGCCCGCGACTGCTGAAAGGACGCACGGATCTAATGGGCAAACAATGTTCCGTCTAAGAACAGAAGAAACAACCCCAGCACTTGAATAAAAGAAAGCCTACCTAGGCTGAAGTCTAGGAAGCTGTGTGTGGTATAAAATAGGGCGCCCTGGGGGTGTAGGGCTGCAATTCACAAGCTCGGTACTTCGAAACCACCAGCAGCTCCACAGGACACAGTCTGGGCTTTCTACTCCTGTAAACCGTTTCAATCTCGGAAACCCACAGCGCAGTCGCTACGGGGACAGCACTGACCCCACGGCAGTGAGTCTGGGGTTTGGTTTTGGTACAAAACAACACCTCCTGTTTTCAGTGACCTTGCTTCCAACCAGCAAAATTAATACCTGCTGATGTGAACTGTCATGCACTGAAACCCACAGGGGAATTATAATCACTCTTATATCTCATATAAAGTTTTTGGGGTGGGGGTGGGGGTGGCATATTGAGTTTTTGTTCTTGTTCAGGGCTGTGGAGCTGGCTCCAAGGCATAGCGACCCCTAAATGCCACAGAGCGAAGCACTGCCTGTCCCTGCTCCATCCTCACCAGTCTTCCTTACGATACAGCTGAAACTTTCACTTTCCAAATAACACACACTGCTCTCCCAGGTTCGTGCTGAGGACCCAATGCGAACGCTGTCTTTGTGAGAAGAAACCGTGGAAACCGCAGCTGTTCTAAGGTCCAAATGGGTCAGGACCGACTTGGTGGCAGACAGTCTGCAGTTCTTGATGGCGTGGGGGGCTGGCGGCATTGCTGGGGCTGTCCCCAGCGGTTAACCACTTGAAGATCAGCCCAGTCTACAGTGGAACTTTCTCCTCTTCCACGACCAGCTTACCTCGATGGAGGGAAAGACTGTTGGCTCCTTGGGACGAGAACTCACTGGTGCAGACGAGTAGCCGCTCCCCTTCTTTCAGACTGGGGATCGTCACAATTTCCACAAAGCTGCTGGGGAACTGTCCTGTAAGCAAATGCAACATGGCCCAAACCAAATGTTAGTTTTCCTGGACTGTGGACAGGGGCAGTTTGCTGTGTGTGTGTGTTTGTTTTCACGCCCATCGACAGATCCTCCTCACTCGCCTTTTAAACACCTTTTTGTATAGTTTGTGGGAAATTTTACAGAGCAAATTCATTTTCCTTTCAACAATGTACGCACGTTTTGTTTCAGAACAGTGGCCGTCCCTTCAAGCTAACAGTGCTTTTCCCCCTTTCCTCCCGGGTCCCCCGTTTCCATTCAGCCTTCGTTCCTGCCCCTTCCCGCAGGCTGAGCTGTACAGTGCTGCCCCCTTTTTTTTTTTTTTTTTTTTTGGGTGGTGGTGGGGGCGCCTGGTATGGTTGAGGAGCCTTGGTGGTGCTGTGGGTTAAGCACTGGGCTACTAACTGAAAGGTTGGTGGTTCAAATCCACCAGCAGCTACTCCAAAAAAAAGGATGAGGCTGTCTACGTCAGTAAAAGTTACAGCCTTAAACCTTCACTCAATCTACAGGTTAAAACATATTTCTTTCTTTCTAACAACCTTGGAAACTGGTTCTATGAACAGTTCTATTCTGTCCTAGAGGATCACTGCGAGTCAGAACTGACTCGACTCGATGGCAGTAGGTTTGCGTGTGCACCTGTGCTTACAGTTGATTGTACCATCTACAGATTTTGAGTTGAGAACTTGTAAGTAGAGGACCCGTATTGGGGGTGGGGGGAGTCTACAAAATAAAATGCACTAGAACATAAAACAGGGCAGTCAATGAACATTTCCTGGGTGCTTTTTCCACGAGGTGGGCTGCAGAGGGGGAAATGAGTAAGGACGTCTTGGCCCTCAAAGCTCATTCACTTTCTCATTCACACAAAAGCTGATTCAGATACACAAGAATCTGATTCTGAGAGCAAAGATCACTCCAGAGGCAAACTGTAATGAGGACCTGGAGACGGTGGAGAAGGACAAGAAAGGGTTTCCCACACTTTCTGGAAAAGGTGGCATGACATTTGAGACAGGTTTCTGGAGATGGGCAGGTCCTAACAGGAAGCGGGAGAGAGACAGGGCTGACAAGTTGGAAAGAATAGGGAGTTTGGTTGAGTCTACCTTCTCATGATCTCTTGGGGCCCCGGGGTACAGTGGGCTTCTCGTTGGGCTGTTAACCGCCCAGTTCAAACCACCAGGTGCGCCAAGGGAGAAAGACGAAGCTTTCTACTCCCATAAGATGAATAGTCGCAGAAAACGCCAAGGGGCAGTTCTACTCTGTCCTTCAGGGTCACCACGAGTCAGGACCGACCGGGTGGCAGTGAGAATCATCTCCTGTATCTAATTCCCTCCATCCCTATATCACCTTGTCTGGGCCAGCTCCATCTTTCACCTCAGTCTCTGACACAACTACCCAATGACTTCTTGCCATGCTCCAGCAGTCTTGGGATAGCACGAATGATTTGTGCTTGACTACTATGCAAAGGTTAAGTATTTGAACCCACCCAGGGGTGCCGCAGAAGAAAGGCCTGGGTATCAGCACCCATAAAGTTCGCAGCTATGGGAGCCCAATGGCGCGCAGTCCTACCCTGTAACACATGGTCTCTGCCCATACCCTCTTGGTCTTGCTAACTTCTACTCATCCTTTTTGTCTTACCTGAGATATTATTTCCCCCAGGAAATAATCTGTAATCTCCCAAATGTGGGTTAGAGACCCCTCCTAAATGTGTCTATGGAGTATCCGCTACTTCCTTTCTCATAGCAAATGGCACTCTGGGTGGTACCTGCAGTGAACTAACCGCCTTCCTTCCAGAAGGAGGAAGACAGATACCGTTCTTAGCCATAGGGGGAAGAACCTTATCTATCCTGATTATCATTATAGTCTCTAGTGGACATCAAAAGAAAGTTTGAATGAAAGAGCAAACAAATGACAAAATATGCTCTAAGGACCGTGTGCTGTTAGATGGTTTTCTGTCAACTTGAAGATGTATGAAAGTATTGGGGAAGCTAAATCTCTCTCTCTCTCTCCCTCCCTTGCTCTCTGTCCTTTACTTTCCTGCCTGCTGGGACTCAGCCACTGACCCTGAGAGCTGCTTTGCCCTGCCATGTTTCCAGTGACCTTGAATCACATGACTTTGCACCCACCGACCTGTGGTCTTCCTGCATTCTGGGTCATTGTCTGTGACTACGGGAGTCTGAAGAGGGACTTTTGGACTAGTATTGGACTTGTGGATGTGAGGAGGACTAGGCTAGGATGCCTTCTTGAGATATAAACATTTCTTGATCTACAGCTCTTTCTTATACATATACGTGTGTCACTGCATTTGATTCTCTAGCCAACTTAGCCTAACACAGACTGTATGTAAGACATATCTCAATCCAGACTTAGAGGGGTATGTGTCCATTGAAACTAGATTACAGGTGGATACTGTGTAGGAAAAACGTCCACCCTTCTCTGGGCTAAGGAATGCAGGAGGCTGATGCTAATGTCTATTTTACAGACTCGGAGGACAGTAAGCTGGTGTCGAGAAGCACGAGTGGGCAGCATCTAGGGGAGATAACAGCTTTAGTAAGTTTGAGCAGCTAAGAATCTGGGAGAGAGTAAACAGGAGGGAGTCATTATGTAACCTTGATAAGAATGAAGGAAAGGGTGGAACAACAGTTCAAAGAAGGCCTCCAGGGAGAGCTAGGTGGGGAATCTACGTGCCATAAACCAGGGAGAGAAACTGATTGTCCAGGGAGGGCAGTGATGCCCAAACAGGGGCTCTGCACAGAGGGGCTGGGGATTGCACACTGCGAGGAGAGAACAGACAGCCCTGCATGCCAGGATAAAGACCTGGGCAGAGGGAGGCTAGGGAGGAGGAGGAGGTCAGCAGACAGCAGGGCTGAGGGCGGCTGCTAGCTAAGCATCTCATCCTCTCGAAGGAGCCCAAGAGGAGAGGGAGAAGGACACACGGGAATCCTCTCCTCCTTGGCAGAGGGTGGCAGCGCCCACAAAGAAACACCCAAAGGTTTCTGAGGCTGGTAGACTTGGGCTTCCTTCTCATTTAGCATTGGGTTTTAACTGCAGGCAGGCGAGGGGCTCTGCAGTCCGTTTCATCCACAGGGAACCACGGACCTCTCACCTGTGACATCCTCTTTCTTTCCTAGAAGCCAGAACTCATCGACCACCGCCAGCACCTCGATGACGTCTCCCACAAAGAGGGGCAGTTCTTCAGATACACTTGGGCAGAAGTCGAAGATAGCACGGACCACCGAGCCAGCCTCCATGGTGTAAGGCCCTGGAAAGAAATGGCAAAAAAACAAGAAAAAAAAGCACGAATCCTTAGTGCAGCGGTTCTCAAACTTCCTAATGCTGCGACTCCTTAATACAGTTCCTCATGTGGTGGTAACCCCCCCCAACCATAAAATTATTTTCATTGCCACTTCATAACTGTTATGAATCAGGTGAAAGGGTCGTTCGACTCTTCTAAGGGGTCCCGACCCATAGGTTGAGAACCACTGCCTTAGGGCATCTGTAATACAGATCTATTACCTGAGATTGCTAGAGCTCAAAATATAAAGATAATTACAAGACAAAGCTAAGCGAATAAAGTGTTGGTACTTGATACTTCAAAGAAATTAAAGTCCTTTCTCATTTACTTCTTTTTATTTTTAGCATGAACTTGTTTTGTTTTGAAAACACACATAGAATACACATCAATTTGACAAAGTCCACATGTACAATCACGTGCGGTGGATGATGTCTTTAGGCTGTGGAACCAGTCTCGCTGTCCTTTGCTGAATCGCTCTCCACCATGAACATAAACTCCCGCTCCTAAGCTTATTCACGAACCTGGTTTGCTGTTGTCTCATTCATATCTTTGAAAATAGTAATCGCAAAGCATTTCCCCCCTCATTTGAGTCTCAATTCTAAAGTTGGAAAAAGAAAGTGACATCTACACATGGTGATAGAAGAGAGTAAAGAATAGGAATGCTAGGCTTCACAGCGGGCTTGAGGAGGGTAAGGAAGAAAATGAACATGATGAAAGCACTATTATTGAAACCTGGAGGACAGAGTAGAAGTTCTAGGTGTCCTACATCTTTATGCAGAAACATAAAGCCTCATCTTTCTCCTGTGGAGCAATCATGGATTTGAACTAGTGATCTTGTGGTTAGCCATTCAAGGCATGACTTACCATGGCAGTGGGCAATATGGTACTTTTCGAACGTCATTTTAAGATGTGACATTTTAAAAGTCCTGTGTTGCCTGCTATTACATGTGGTATTTAAAAAGTAAGGAGTTGACGTTTTAATATGATCGGATTATTGAATCGTACAGCATATGAATGAAATGCTAATGAAACTGCTTAAAAAAGAGAGTTGAAATATGGTATACTGGTTTATCCCCCATAACCATCTTAGAGAAAAATGTGGCTCACTGAGGTTAGAAAAACATCCTTTGTTCCAGATCACAGCGCTTGTAAGCAGTAGGGCCAAGAGTCAAAAGTGCGGACCTTTGGGCTCCTACCTGAGAGTCTGCTTATAAAAACACTAACATAAGCTGCAGAACAGGACCGCACCCTAAGGGCTGAGATGTGAAAGTTATTGGAAAGTAAAGAGCCACCAAAAGAAGGAGAAAGAACTCCGTACAATCCAGCACTACCTCTGCCGGTTATCTACCCTAAAGAAGAGTCACAGCACCAACAGGCACATGCTCACCGCGTGTTCACCGGCGCACAGCTCACCCCAGCAGGAAGATGGAAACAACTCAAATGCCCATCAGGAGAAGCACGGATGAAGAAACTCCGGCACATACACACAGTGGAATACTATGCATCGCTGAAAACCAGTACTGAAATCACGAAACACTTCCTGGCTTGGATGGACATGGAGAACACTGTGTTGCGTGAAATTAGTCAATCACAAGAGGACACATATTGTATGATATTCCAAAGGGAACAGCCTTTGGAAGTTACCAAGGGGAGGGGGCGGGGCAAAGACGATGAAGCACCAGGCTGGAGGGCGGACAGGGATGCCTGTGACCGGACAGTGACTGAGGGGAAGATCATGAGTCACAAGAAGGAGAAGAACAGGGCTGTCTAAAAAAGATAGGCTGGATGAACAATCTGGAGGAGAAAACAACGGGACCGACAGTTCCGGGGGGACATGGGAGAGGGGGAGGTGGGGGGAAAGGCAGTGGTGTTAACAAACCCAGGGACAATGG